ATGGAGCTAAACTACTGCAGGCTGAATAGGCAGACATATGTAAATGAGTTTTAATTTTGTGACATCACAAAAACAATTCATTTAAAAAGGGGCCATTTGTGCAGCTTTGTTTCCATATATGGACTGGAGAGTGAGAGGTACATTTATGTTGACATACTGCATCAAGTTCTTTTACTAAGCAAGGAAAACTACATTTTCCCCGATATGGACCCTTTAATCTTAATTCTGATTATTAAATTCAGTGGTTTTTGCTTAGATTGAATTGCATGCTTAGTACATGACTTTGGTTAGGAGGTCAATGAGGTCACATCGAGGAAATCCTGTGACAGGACGATAACTGCAGACCACCAAACCTGACTCCAGTGGAAATCTGCACCTGCTTCTTTTTAATGAAAATGTAATACCGCCATCTAGTGCTCATGAAAAGGAAGAGAAGACTTTAACCTTCATTTTTAGACAACCTGAAATCAAAACTGATCTTTTTTTTTACCTTATTAGTTCATGTTCCTGATCATATTAATCACGATTCATCATATCATATTATTGATGAATATCATATCATTTAAAAGACAAAGTTCTTCTTTGTTGTAATTGTTCATCAAAATTTTGCCCCGCTTTCAAAACGTCTTATGATGTTTGATAATAATATTGACCAGTAATTTCATGTTTGACCCCACCCCACCCCTCACCATGGCCATCCATCACCAAGAGAAAATACTAGCTCTACCGCTACTGCATTTACTCACAAATATGTCACAGTATTGCCTAAAGGGTAAGTATTCCCATTTACATGGGCCCTTACTACTTATTTCTCTCATTATATCAAAAACTAACAAATGGGTTTTGGGCGGTAAGATGCTGACATAACTGTTACTGAGTGCTGATTGGTTAGCATTACTACTGAGTGCTGATTGGTTAGCATTACTGCTACTTAGTGCTGATAGGTTAGCATCACTGCTACTGAGTGCTGATTGGTTAGCATTACTGCTACTTAGTGCTGATAGGTTAGCATCACTGCTACTGAGTGCTGATTAGATGGCATTACTGCTACTGAGTGCTGATTGGATGGCATAACTGCTACTGAGTGCTGATTGGTTAACTTTCCTGCTTCTAAGTGCTGATTGGTTAGCATCAATGCTACTTAGTACTGATTGGTTGTCATTACTGTTACTGAGTGCTGATTGGTTAGCATCAATGCTACTGAGTGATTGTTTGATATAACCACTCCTGAGTGCTGATTGGTAGGCATTACGGCTACTGAGTGCTGATTGGTAGGCATTACGGCTACTGAGTGTTGATTGGATGGCATTACTGCTACTGAGTGCTGATTGGTTAACATTACTACTACTGAGTGAAGGGTTTGCTCTCACTGACGTCATGATGGTACATGTTGCACAGCTAATATGTCCCATAACTGAAGTTCAAAGTCGCTCGAAAATATAACCGCGGTGTTCGAGTTCAACTAACTTACATAACACAAACAAAAAGAAAGGTTATCAGGAGCTCAGGAGCACCCTCTAGTGTCTGACAAACCCGAGAGACATTACCAAGCGGCAGTTCAGGCTGCAAAGCCTTCTAGATGTCTACACTGAAAACGTCAATTGTGCGAGTCAAAATGTAAACAAACCACAGGCCTATCAGAGAATAGCTGCTTTACTGGCACAGCTGTCCAGCTGTGGTTTTAGGATGTTCTTACAGATTGTATAACGGGTTATGTTTTATTTCCACATTTAACATCAGCAGTCTGGTGGTAACATCAGTAGTCAGAGTTTAAAATTTGATATTGAGATGAATCATATCAGGGTCAAAAGAGGCTTTATGCATGATATATTTTAACAATCCATTTTCATTACTTATGCACTATTTAAAATATTTTTTGACTTCAGTTCAATAATGCATGACATTTCATCAGATAGATGCTTTTACCCCCTGCACTAACAGGCAATCAGCCTGGCGATTAAAATAGTCAATTAAATAAGTATCAAGGCTTTTGTATTTGTCAGTGAGGTCAGATTATTTAGTGAATCATGCATCAGGACTTTCAACGCAAGGGCTCTGGACAAATCTGACTCCAGTGAAAATTTTCTCCTGCTTATTTCGAGTGAAATTGCAATACTGCCATCTAGTGCTCACAAAAAGGGAGAAATATCTTTTATTTTTAAAGTAATCTCGGTTTCATTGGATCGTGACATTTCTGTGCCAGGCAGAAATTTACACAAGCTCTGAGTTTGCACTGAGAAATTACAAGTAAATAAATAAATAAAAGAAAGCAGTGATTTGTAAACTGTCTTTCACATGTATTTAATTGAACACAGCACAAAGAAGAAATGTTCAAAATTTTACTTTACCAACTTCATTGATTTTTTTAAATATACTCCAATTCCAAATATGATGCCCGCAACACATCCCTAAAAAATTGGAACAGGGTAATGTAAGGCTGGGAAGTTTGGGAAAAGATCACACCTGTTTTGGAACTTTGCACAGGTAAACAGGTGAATAAAAGAAGCATTCACAAAAGACTCAGTCGGGGGAGTTTAGGGATTTCACCATCTACAGTCCATAACATCATTAAAGATTCAGAGAATCCAGAGAAAAAGGCCAAAACCTATATTGAGTGTGACCTTCGATCCCTCAGATGGCACTGCATTGAAAACCCACTTGCTTCTGTAATGACACCCCACATGGGCTCAGGAATACTCTACTTCACAAAGTGGAAGCCACAAATCAGTAATATCCATGAACGCCGCCGACTTCTCTCGGCTAATAATAATAATAATAAGATGATTTTGTATTAATATAGCACATTTCATGCCGGTGGCAGCTCAAAAGTGCTTTACAGACAGGTGATAAAGTTTGACAGTAATACAAGAAATTATAAGTATTAATTTAGAATCATATAAGGAAATGACACAGATCAATTTAAAAGATAAATTCCAAGAGATGTAGAGCTTTATTTAAAAGCTAAGTTAAAGCGATACGTTTTTAGATGCTTCTTAAAAGTGAGCACTGAGCTTGACTGTCTAATAAAAGGTGGAATTCAGTTCCACAGTTTAGAAGCAGAATAACTGAAGGAGTCTCTCTATGTTTTCTGTATTTTACAGAAGGTGTTTGTAGAAGGTCAGTATCTGCAGATCCAGACGTGCTGGAACATAACCCGACAGACACTCTGTGATGTAAGTGGTACTTTAACATCATTTAGAGCCTTAAAACCAGTAGCAGAACTTTAAAATCTATCCTGAAGGATACAGGCAGCCAGTGCAGTTCTTTCAAAACGAGTCTGATATGATCTCTCTTTTTTGTTTTGATTAGGATCCATGCTGATGCATTTGGTACAAGTTGTAGAGGATGTGTTGTTTTCTTAGGAAGTCCAGTAAGAAGACGATTAGAGTAATCAGCTCTGCTTGGAACAAATGCATGAACAAGTTTCTCCGCGTCACTCTAAGACAGAAAAGGCAAAGGCCCTAAAACTGAACCTTGAGGGACTCCACAAGAAATGTCAAATCTTTTGGTAAATGATTTCCCATTGAAACCATGAACTGCCTATTACCTAAACATGATTTAAACCATCCTAAAGCTCATCTGAGATGGACTGAACCATAATGAAACTGTGTGCTGTGGTCTGATGAGACCACCTATCAAATTGCTTTTGGAAACAATGGACGTCATGTTCTCCAGGTCAAAAAGGAAAAGGACCACCCCTATTGTTACTACCTTGATAAACTAACTAAGGCCAAATGGGCTACATGACTTCCCAAACCCAAAAATCACTACACAGCTCACACTATGTAATGTATAGTACTTACAGTCTGCTATCCTGTTGCAGTGGTGGAGTGCACACTACACTACCCACCACAGAAAAGACATTTCACTCACTGTAGTTTCTTTCAGTGATAAACTAACAGATCATGAACCTGTTCAGCTTTAGACTAGGTGCTCTAAAAAGGTTTGCTTCAGAATCATGAGCTGCTCAGCCTCTTTAGGTGGTGCGCCTTTAGCCAATTGTTTGATAAAAGTTCCAGGGAAAACCCCACATAACCCTATCTTGTAACAGCAGGAAGTTAATGTTTCACCAAGAACTAGCAAGACTGAAGAGCAGTCTGTGCTGCTGTATTATGTTGTACGTGTGGATCCAGTGAGGAAGTTTTGTGGCACTGTTGGTTCTTTTTTTTTTTGGATATTATAATTTATCAGACCTCCGAAAAACTGAATATCATGATGCATGTGCACTGAGAAAATATTTTGAAGTATAATTTTAAATATAAACATTTATATTTATGTGTATTACATATAAATACATATATGTATATACATATATATATATACATACATACACGTGTATATTTTTGTATGTCACTGTTGAGAGAAGAAAACCTCATATCTCCAACATAATACCTTTACAGGAGAAGAAAAAAACCTACTTTAATTTTAATGTAAGTCAATGGAACCAGACTTTTTTCCAAGTAATTTTGGGCCGTTTCTTTTGGTCCATTCATCATGAAAATTACACACAATGTAAAGAGCAACAGGCATTTTCAGATTATGTCAAAAACTGAAAAACAACAAAAAAAACAACCACACACACATGTATATAATATATATGTGTGTGTATATATACCCACACATATATATTATATACACGTGTGTGTGGGTATATATATATATATATATATATATATATATATATATATATATATATATATATATATATATATATTTATTTATTTATACAATATATAAGTCCTTAACACATCCTCTACTTAATTAAACTAAAATTTGACAGTAAGCTAGTGCAGTATGGGCTGCTGCATTCTGAACTAGATGGAGGCAATTTAGAAAGACAGCAGGGCAACAGTACTGAAACACTATATTATGTCATTTCACTCACCCGTCATGTAAATTATAAAAAGCTAGAGTGACAAAGCATACACATCATCTCGTAATACCAGTCCTCGAGGTGTACCTATGAACTGCAAGGCTGATAAGAGGTGAAGTATTTGAATATTCAGTAAATGAGAGAAAGAACACCTCAGGCTGGACAGTCAGTTCTCTCCTGCTATAATGATACAATCAAGAAAAATGTTCAAATACACTGCTGCGTTGTTGTTTACAGTATCAGGTGAGAGATTTCTTATTGATCAGAGTTCTAATCCTCCTTCCTCCTGTGTTCTCTGAAAGGAGAGTGTACAGAGGAGCTAACCCCTCTGTGGTTTTATGGTGTGTTTTCTGTTATTTCAGTAAGTGTGGTGTCAGTTGAGCTGTGGAAGCGTTTGATCCTGGGGAGAGACTGCAGTGATGAACAGAGACTTCATCACGTTCAAGTGGTCTATGAGAGAAAGGGGTCAAAGTCAGGGGCCTGTGGGGGAACTCTAATCCATAAGCAATGGGTCCTGACTGCAGGACACTGCTATAAGGGAGCTGAAGGGTGAGCTTTCACAACTGCTACTGAGCTTTTTGCTACTGCTACTGGTAATGCAACTACTATTACTGCTACTGATACTAAAACTACTGGTACTACTACTACTGCTCCTGTTACTACTACAACTATTACTACTACTGCTCCTGTTACTACTACAGCTATTACTACTACTGCTCCTGCTACTACTACAACTATTACTACTACTGCTCCTGTTACTACTACAGCTATTACTACTACTGCTCCTGCTACTACTACAACTATTACTACTACTGCTCCTGTTACTACTACAACTATTACTACTACTGCTCCTGTTACTACTACAGCTATTACTACTACTGCTCCTGTTACTACTACAACTATTACTACTACTGCTCCTGTTACTACTACAGCTATTACTACTACTGCTCCTGCTACTACTACAACTATTACTACTACTGCTCCTGTTACTACTACAACTATTACTACTACTGCTCCTGCTACTACTACAACTATTACTACTACTGCTCCTGTTACTACTACAACTATTACTACTACTGCTCCTGTTACCACTACAGCTATTACTACTACTGCTCCTGCTACTACTACAACTATTACTACTACTGCTCCTGTTACTACTACAACTATTACTACTACTGCTCCTGTTACTACTACAACTATTAGTACTACTGCTCCTGCTACTACTGCAGCTATTACTACTACTGCTCCTGTTACTACTACAACTATTACTACTACTGCTCCTGTTACTACTACAACTATTACTACTACTGCTCCTGCTACTACTACAACTATTACTACTACTGCTCCTGCTACTACTGCAGCTATTACAACTACTGCTCCTGCTACTACTACTGCTATTACTACTACTGCTCCTTTTACTACTACAACTATTACTACTACTGCTATTACTACTACTGCTCCTGTTACTACTACAGCTATTACTACTACTGCTCCTGTTACTACTACAGCTATTACAACTACTGCTCCTGTTACTACTACAGCTATTACTACTACTGCTCCTGTTACTACTACAACTATTACTACTACTGCTATTACTACTGCTGCTCCTGTTACTACTACAGTTATTACTAATATTGTTTCTGTTACTACTGCAGCTATTACTACTACTGTTTCTGTTACTACTGGAGCTATTACTACTACTGCTCCTGTTATTACTGCAGCTATTACTACTACTGTTTCTGTTACTACTGCAGCTATTACTACTACTGTTTCTGTTACTACTGGAGCTATTACTACTACTGCTCCTGTTATTACTGCAGCTATTACTACTACTGTTTCTGTTACTACTGCGGCTATTACCACTACTGTTTCTGTTACTACTGGAGCTATTTCTACTACTGCTCCTGTTATTACTGCAGCTATTACGACTACTGTTTCTGTTACTACTGCAGCTATTACTACTACTGTTTCTGTTACTACTCCAGCTATTACTACTACTGTTCCTGTTACTACTGCAGGTATTACTACTACTGTTTCTGTTATTACTGCAGCTATTACTACTTCTGTTCCTCTTACTACTGCAGCTATTACTACTACTACTGCTCCTGTTACTACTGCAGCTATTACTACTACTGTTTCTGTTATTACTGCAGCTATTACTACTTCTGTTCCTCTTACTACTGCAGCTATTACTACTACTACTGCTCCTGTTACTCCTACAGCTTTTACAACTACTGTTTCTGTTACTACTGCAGCTATTACTACTACTGTTCCTGTTACTACTGCAGCTATTACGACCACTGTTTCTGTTACTACTACAGCTATTACTACTACTGCTCCTGTTACCACTGGAGTTATTACTACCACTGTTTCTGTTACTACTGCAGCTATTACTACTACTGTTTCTGTTACTACTGCAACTATTACAACTACTGTTCCTGATACTACTGCAGTTATTACTACTACTGTTTCTGTTACTACTGCAGCTATTACGACTACTGTTTTTGTTACTACTGCAGCTATTACTACTACTGCTCCTGTTACTACTGCAGTCATTACTACTACTGTTTCTGTTACTACTACAGCTATTACTACTACTGCTCCTGTTACTACTACAGCTATTACTACTACCGTTTCTGTTACTACTGCAGCTATTACAACTACTGTTTCTGTTACTACTGCAGCTATTACTACTACGGCTCCTGTTACTACTGCAGCTATTACTACTACTGTTTCTGTTACTACTGCAGCTATTACGACTACTGTTTTTGTTACTACTGCAGCTATTACTACTACTGCTCCTGTTACTACTGCAGTTATTACTACTACTGTTTCTGTTACTACTACAGCTATTACTACTACTGCTCCTGTTACTACTGCAGTTATTACTACTACTGTTTCTGTTACTACTACAGCTATTACTACTACTGCCCCTGTTACTATTACAGCTATTTTTTTCTACTGCTCACAGGGAGTGTTTCTAATCTAACTCTGTCTACATCAGGATTTTGAAGGTCATTGTGGATGTCCACCCAACAAACTCAAAAGTCAACAAAACTCTCACCATTCCTCATGAAAATATAAAGAAATACAGCGAAACTCTGTCAGATGGTGACATCATGTTGCTGAAGCTTCCAGAAAGTGTGGAGAATATCAAACCTGCAAAACTTCCAGATGTTCCTTGTACACATCCACCTGCTGGAGACATACTGCAGGTAGCAGGACATGGATCAGCATCTAAGATCTATGGTAGTTATGGATGTCTTGCTAATTATTATTACTATTACACACACACACACATATATATATATATATATATAAAATTTATAATTTATAATTTAATGTGTGTGTGTTCAATTATTTATTTTAATAAATGTTTGAGACATTCAAAACAAAAGAAATTTAAACCATATCTGGTAGAGTGACCCATATATGTATTTTATCATGATTATTATTTTTATCATTATCATCATCAAATCAGGTCACACACACACACACACATATTTCATGCTGTCAGAACAACTTGTATCTCCAAAAATGACAGCTTTACAAGAAAAGGAAAAAACCTACTTTACTTTTAATGTAAGTCAATGGAACCAGACTTTTTTCCACGTCATTTTGGGCCATTTCTTTTGGTCCATTCATGATGAAATTTACACACAATGTAAAGGGTAAAATGTTTTTTCAAACTAAAAAACGACAAAAATAGAGATACGAGGTTTTCTTCTTACAACGGCAATGACTGTGACTGTGTCTGTTTTTTTTTTTTTTCAGGAAAAGCTGAAGCACATCTGAAGTGCTTGGATGTTTCGGTCGTCTCTTGTCAAAACCTGAAAAACACTGTGTTTGAACATGACAAGCACGTCTTCTGCGGCGTCAATCTTCCAGATCAGCCAGTGATTGACAGCTGTGCGGTTGAGTGATTTCTCATCAGTCTGTCACTGTGAACTCTCTGTGTTTTGAAGAAGATCACTGACTCTGTCTCTCTCGTTCCCACGCGCAGGGGGACTCTGGAGGAGGCCTGCTGCTGATGGGGGAGACAGACGTGGTGTTTGGGGTGCTGATAGGAGGTCGCCGGGGCGGGTGTGGAGGACAGATTGTTTTTACTGATGTCTGTAAATACAGGGTGTGGATTAAAGACCTCTTAGACTGAGTAACAGTTACATTCACTATTTAATTCATTCACATTCATTTAGTCAGGTTTGATGCCAGCCAGGGATAAACAGCTGATGGAAATTAGTCTTTAAAAGTTCATCACTTCATCATTATGTCACATTTTTTTTTAAATAGTTCATATGTGCTGTAACAGAAGGAATTCTTAAAGGGCAAAGGGCCTATATTCAACATTTTTCTTTTATTATTATTCTTCTTATTATTTATTATTTCCCATAAAGTCCATTTAAGAAGTTTGTGTGCATTTCTGCACCAAAAAAAAGTCACAACCTTTGTCCCTCAGAATTAAACAGGCTGTTTTTGTACTGTGTCTTTAAGACTAATACATATTAGACTTAAGATTATATATACACACACACACACACATATATATATATATATATATATATATATATATATATATATATATATCGCTCTTGTTGGAAGAAGACCTTCACACCTGTGTTCTGATTGGTTACCTTGTTTTGTGCAGCAGTCCAGGCTGACACACTCCTTGTAACTTCAGCATGAATGGGCGGAGCTAAACTGCTGTAGGCTTTGTAGGTAGATATCTGTAAATGTGCTGTTTTTTTAACTGCCCTTTGATTGTTTTTGGTTCTAAATGCCAGTTTCTTAATTTTTTTCTGCTCTAATAGATCATCACTTTAATTTAACATCAGTGAAATAAACCATTCCACACATTCACATTTAACAGAGCTGAGTGGACTTTGTGTTATTAATGTAACGGTGCTCTTGCAACTCCATGGTACACCACACACTGTTTCAGTGTTTTCTTGCCCTAATGACTCAGCTCATGTGTCAAAACAAGTGTATTAGAAGACAGAAAAACACATGCCCTCTAGTGGAATAAAAGGGCCATTACATGCTTCTTGAATTAGGTGAACACATCGCAGACCAAAACAGAGCCACATTATAGCTGAAAACAACAGGATTTAGATGAACTTTTAAAAAACGGTGAACAATATTTTCAAACTGTTGCATACAACTATTTTTCCAAAAAGGTAACTTCATAGCTAAAGGAAAAAGTATGTTTCATTGCATTGTATTGTACTGTATCATGATTAACATATTAACTTGTGACTAGTGTTGTAGATTGGGACACTATAAAACTTTTAAGATATTCTGTAATGTTGAATGCTCTACTGAACTGAAAATGGAAAAACGTTAACGTAAGGCCCATTTTCAGTCACTAATTAATTACTTTTGCTGTGTCAAAAATGGATTGAGAATTGCATTGAATTGTACTGGATTCATTGGATAATGAATTTTGTGGATTGTGTATCATTAACACTAATGTAATGCAATTGTATTAAGCAATTAGGACCATTTTGTTAGCCCATTCATTATCAAATTATCACGCAATGTAAAGGACAGCTGTCATTTTTAAATGGCGTTTAAAAAAGAAATAAAAATTAACCTACTAAATACAGTGAAATGAAGTCATTATATAACAATGGACTTATATAATGACTCTATTACACTGCACCCCACTGTATTCTGTGATTTTTTTAATCTTTATTTTTATAACAGTGCTCATGCATTACATACAGATCAAGCAATAGTTTGCATGCATGTGATTACTAAACCTCACACATCAGTGGAGTTAAAGGTATAATATATCCCATGTGTAAAATAAATGCCTTACAAATGTGTATAAATACTGAAAAAGGAAATTAATAATAAATAAAATAATAAAAATAATTAGCAAAGGAAAAGAGTCATCTGGATCGGATATTGAATAATTTTTTTTTTTTTAAAGTATAATCCGATATGATTCATTAGCCTAAACTATCACATAAATGCTTACATAAACGTTTGCACAAAGTTGCACTTTAAATTTCATATTGAATGTCTGAAGTGTGCCGACCAATCAAAAACGCTGCTAAAAGTTCTGCGTTCAGTTTGAGTATGATGTTATTTAGATGGCTAGGTTAAGTAAATGCATACAGCCAAATGTATTACTAACAGATGAGTTGTTTAAGAGAGGGAAAAAGACATTATCAACAAGGTGCAAAATACATGAGGGTACCCTGGGGTTGTTTGGACCTCCTAATTAACCTCTTGGGCCCCTCCAATGTCTTAAAAATCAAAGTTCTGGGGGGCGTCCTTGAAAATCAACTTAATATGATGTTATTTTGTCCTTTAAGGAAAAGGAGATGCTCAAATACAAATTCAGGGAAAGCTCATTGTTTAAGCTGCTTCACCCACTAAACAGCTACTGTCTTGATATTTTAACTAAGTAGTGATGCAGCACTGATCTGCCTCAGGGTGGCACTATTGCAAACTGGTTCACCCAGGCAGTCCTTCATAGCCTAGCCAACTGTAACTCTGCCCAGACACCTCTGAGAAACTTCCCAAGAGTTAGGTGGAAAAAGTGAATTACTCATTTCTCAAATCAAAGACAAAAGAGGAGATGAGTAAGATTTCAATTAATGTGTAGAAGAGCACATTACCAAACTAGAACAGAGCATTCTCAGAAGAAATGTTAATAAACCAATCAGCACCACTATGGTGAGTGAGGTAGCAGCCCATCAACACTGGAGAAGCCAGCCAACATGGGACTCCCCGACTACCAGGGGGGATTTTGCATACTGGGTGTCAGATTGGTGTCAGTAACGGCAGATACTCAAAGGTGTAGTATCAGTATCGGTATCAGACATGAAAATGTGGTACCGAGTCACCCCTAGTTGATAATTAAATTAAATCATCTCAGACTTTAAGGAAACTCCAGGCTAAGTTTCTGTGCCTTCTCCAGCCCAAAATAAGGGAGGAAAGGGTCCCACACTGTGAAACATTAGTAAGGTTTCAGAGCAGATACACTGTTAGAAATAAAGGTTCTGCGCAGGTACATTTTTTGTTCAAGGTACAAACAATGTAAATGTTCCCTCAAAGGTACAACAGTGGTTTTAAAGTCCAATTGTGAATCTTTAATACATTTTTTTCCCAGGTGAAAAGTTCATAATTGTACCTTTTCATAACCGAATGTTTTAAAACAGAACAGTAAAATAAAAGCCTGGAGACGAGACGAGGTGTGTGGAGTCAGTACAACTTAGAAAATTATGGTTCAGTTATGTTCTCTGACTGAAGGTACTGAGATGTACCCTTGAGGGTACCACCCCAGTGACAAGAAGGGAACTGCCCCAGTGACAGTTTCACACCTTTATTTCTGAGAGTGTAGAGCTCTGTTAGGAATGAGATTTGTCACTAAACTGACCCACTGTGAAATAGAGGGGCTTTGTTCTGTGGTCCACTGTAACAGAATACATTTGCGAGCACAGTGAAGAACATGTAGAAGGTGGTCGTGCAACTTTTGCACCCCATTCATTCCTATGACGAAAGATAGTAAGAGAAGCGTACATAGAACAAAAAGCTGTATACAAGCACACTATTCCCAAACAGACTCAACATTCCAGAGTGGGAACGGTGTCAATATCTCAAGAACTGTGGGATGAGTTAGTGGACACAAACCCAGCAGAAGAAGAAGAAGAAGAAGAAGAAGAAGAGGAAGAAGAAGAAGAAAAAGAAAAACGAAGAGAAGAATATAAATCAGAAAACATTAGCTGTTATTAAATACAAATGAATGAAGGAATTGAGAAGTTAATTTATGTTGTACAATCTATGACATGAGATGTATACGACCTAAAAACATGTGAAAGCAGACTACTGGGCACAGGTCGAAACCATCTGAAAAAATTTGAGATTCTTATTCATAAAGCTGCGAATCTAGTGATAAGATAAAAACAACATTAGGCCTCATTCTTCAATATTTTCTTAAATTTGTTCTTAAGAAAAGTTCTAAGAAAAAGTCTACATCAGATTCACAGTGAGTTCTTAAAGCACAGACCTTTTCACACTTTTGTGCTCTTGAGTGTGTGTAGATTCTGTTCTTACCTAAGAACCAATCCCAAGTAAGAAAACACTGGTGAATGTCAGAATCTTCGTGAAAACTGCGTAAGCGGGTTTTAAGAACTTCATTCTTAAGAATGGTTGGTGAATGAGGCCATTTCTTCTTATGAATTGCAATCTAATCACAGAATTCTTTCGCCTTCTAAGTATAATACCACCTATGACGTTAATACCTTTATTTCTCCAAGGTTCCAACCCATCACTGGAAAAAAGGCTGGGATATTATGCAGTGGCGTTAAAAGTGAGACCTTTTTGGTACGCCCTTCAATCTCACAAACCTGAGTTCATAACAAAAGCATATTTTTAAGAGTTATATAATCTTTTATTAGAGGCGTCTTTGAGGATGAAACGTACAACAGGTTACTTGGCAGGATTGAACCTAGTGCTGCAGCTTCAACGTCCAACCAGGTGGAACACGGGTCACCTATGAAGCATTTTAATATGAAGCACAGCTGGGCAGAGAGTTAATACAGCTTGAAAGAAGGGGCGGCTATACCTCCCTGGGTTGGGGGTAATTTTCGCCAAATGAATGAAGTAATGAAGCTGCTCAGCTTCTTAAGGGCTTTACTGTGGAGCAGAATTGGGATCATTGGAAAAAAAAAATGAAGTAGGCACGGAAGTACAGGGTGATTTAAAAAATCGTTATCTAATTTAAAAGCGCCATATTTTCACAACCGTGAGGCGTCTTGGAACCAATCACATTCCAACTGAAAGAGGGGGTCATAGAGTTTCTGTCACCGAAAATGGTTCTCTTCAGTCTGCGAGGAGATGCGAACCCTGAGCAGAAAGCGTTTTGCATTCTCCACTTCAGTAAGAGTGAATCCGTCATAACTGCAACGTGATTTTCGGTGGCAGTGAACCTCCCACAGCTCAGAGCGTTCATCGTTGGTTCCACAACACTGGATGATCTCCGAAATCGCACTGAAAGAGCCGTGAGTGCAGCGACACCCGACATGCTCAATCGAGTATGTGATGAATTTGACTATGGCGTTGATGTTGTCTGTACAGCTGGAGGAGGTTCATATTGAGCACTTGTAAAATTACATAATAAACTTCATTCTCACTTAAACCATT